ACTTCCAGCTCATGGTGTTTAAACAAACATCTTGATGCGCATCCATCATTGTCAACTGACTAAAAAATGACGAAATTAACGTGGAACCTCGCACACAATGGCATCAGTTCAGGTTGCCACACTTCAAAGAACAGGTGGATAAAAAAAGAGTGATATCAATAAGGATAAAGTAGCGTGACAGAATAATCAATCTGAAGACAACAGAAAGAACGAATATTCATGACTTACAAGATGTCAAGGAGTGAAAATATATCAGCGCCATTGTGACCGATTACTAGCTATGTCGTCAGGAGTTCTCAACCGCTGATTCCTTTCGCCTTGGAGACGCTTATCAGACAGTCTACATTTCCCCAAACGGTTCAGACCAACAGTTAGCGACTTCATCGACTGGTGCCACATCTTCGTCTGGCCACCCTGGACTCTCTTATAACCTACTTCCACATACCCTGAGACGCTACGTCAACGTAGGTGGTGGCTCGGCATATGCAATACATGTCCAAATCACCTTATCAAAGACTTTTCTGTCTTGTCTAGTACTTCAGGTGCCAAACTGTTAGGTCCTGCTGCTTTACATCGTTTCAGGTTCCGTACACCTTTCTGAACTTCAATGACGGTTGGAGGACCTACATCTACATCACATTCAGGTTCAAACTGGATGTTGGGCAACTGAAGCGTTGCTGAGAGACAGTTGAACTGTGCTTTAAAGTGTTCTGTCTCATGTTCTAGTCACCTGTCCTAGGAAGTTATCAGCGTCCCATCCATTCTCATGATGGTCTCACCCACCATTGACTGCTTCTTGTCGGTATCATTGATCAGCCTGAATAGTTGCCGAGTCTTACCCAACGCTGATACCTTCTCCATCTCCATCTCCGTCGCCTTCGCCACCCACCACTACTCGCGATCAACGTGAAGACTCTTGGTCAACTTATGTTTGAGTTAGGTTTGTTCTTCATCGTGGTCAGAGCCAGATAGCTGGAATCAGTCTTCTCGTATCGATCAGTTCCGATGACGTCGTGGAAATTCAATGACCTTTGCTAGTCTTCGTGTGTATGTTACCTATTTTCTTTACCACTGTTTCAACAGCAGACTTAATATCATGCCAGATTCCCTCAAGATGATCATTACTGTCACGTTTAGATGAATAGTTAAATATCACTCATTTTTAAACACAATCTCGAGGATAACATATCCTAACACAGTTATCCGACAATAAGGTGCACAACGCCTTAGATACGGTAAATTATCACATAAAAAGATATGATGATTAGTCATAATAAATAAAAATGGATGTGTAAACAGATTTTTGATATAACAAGTTTGAATGTATCTTGACCATCGATGGACTGGACTAATCGAGATAGTGGTTCAACCTCTATATCAATAAATTTTAATTATACATAAATGCATACATACAATCATTTCCTGTCAACATTTGTAGTAAAATACTAGACAATGAATTTAAAGTGAAAATGTAGGCATATGTATAGTCTGAAGTTGACTATGGTGACAATATGTTTTATCATAATAGTTGTTTCTTTGTCTGAATGACCATTTAAATCAATTTATTATTATCATTAATAATATGATAGATGAAATATAACAACTTTGTAACACTTAGACGAAGTAACCAAAATATTAGAAAAATTCTGTGTCCAGACCTCGTAATGCAAAACTTAATGCATAGTAATGAAAGCTAATGAACATTTCCATGCGTTATAATAGTAAACATAGTCTCTCGTTTATCTGAAGATCTCATATGCACAAAATCTACAAATAAATATATCTTATCAATATTATTTCCTCAGTGGATGCTAGTAGTGAAATGCAGGACTCGTGCTGCCTTTTACTTATGGATTAAACAACTGGGTGCACCTGTCTTCCACTGAATGATCGTGTTTCCACTGAAACTCGAACTCATTAACCAACACTTCATGCATCACAACGTTATCTACTAGGCGGCTAAATGATGACGGCCACTTCTTGTGCAAAGAGTATTATCTGCTTGGATTACCATGCTATAAGCAAGCAAATAAAACTAAAATGAAACGTGAAGCAATATCGAGGTACCCGTTCAAGAAGCAGATATACCAACGGATACCCATCAATCCGATCCGTTATAATGATCAATAGAAGACTGTCAGCATTATGTGATATCTCCATCAATAATCAATGTTCCCAATACTTGCAGATTAATACGATCAGTGATATGAGAGGTCGCATAAATGTTTTCTGATTAGAGTAAAAAGGCATGATACCGAGATGATGCAAGGATTATGGGTAAATCCTCCTACTTTATAGAGAATAATAACACAAATTATGATGATGTTAAAGCCAAATGTAAGACTTATTACAAGTCTTAATCAACTGACGTACAACTCCGCAAAAGATAACTGTCCTGCTGTTATTGTGTAGTAACACCACCACAACATTTTGTGGGAGAAGTATCGTACCGGATAAAACTGCAGTCTTACCGTCTATGGCTGCCTACTGACCCTTAATCCAGAATGTTTTATCACAAAAGTAGTTCGTAGATGTCGTATCTGGTTCACATCATGTGTATGTTGATAAAATTTAACTCTAAAAGTAATATATACACTTTCTCAGTGCGTCAGCTATCCTGTTTACAGATAGTATATTTCGATTTATAGTTAAGCGATAGAAACATCAATATTTGCTCATTCGGATAAAACTCAAAACAGCATTGTTGCATAAACTGTCACGCATACAATAAAAATCCATTAAAATGCTCAGATAAATTATCATCAACCATTTGGATTTTTAATCACAGACTAACTGACCAGGACCTATTGAAACAAAATGAAACAAAACATAACAATCACTAAAGTGAACTTATCGTTGATGATGTATCTTTAGGAAATTATATCCTTACAAGGAGAATTAACAAACCAATAGTCTAGACGCTTGCACAACATTGCATTGCTTCACAGTAGACTGAGAGAAAATTAACCCAGGTAGAGAACGAAAGCGAAGAGACGAAAACGGATAACAGATATATGTATATAAAATTTCATACCGTGTGTACATCTTATCGAAATGGGGGTACATAAATGTTTTCGGAAACATTGATTGTCTGATATGAATTCCAATATGACGATCAAGTTGTGCAGCTGTAATCATGTAGGGCAGATAATTGCAGACAATATCATCAAAACCGTATCGTCATATTGAATTCATGTCAGACAACCAATGTTTCCGAAAACAATTATGTACCCCATTTCGATAAGATGATGTACACATGGTATGAAATTTAAAATTCATATTATAACTCGTACAGTATCAGAAAAACTTGCAGTGCTAATAACTTAGCTATTTCGACTTTTACAGATGTTTGATGAGCTCATACTATTCACAAAACTTAAGAAATGCGAAGCGTAATTTTCATCCAGTACAGGTAAATGCCTATGGTTGTGAGACATGCTTCCTATGTGAGGGCTTTTATGATATCGTATGGCTGTTCAGGCTGAAGTAGATGAAACAAGTAATCCAAACAAGACCCAGTGATTGAAAGGTGGGTGTCCAAGCCACACATATACAATGTAAAAACAATCAATCAGTAAGTAGCACTACTTCTGATATATATATATATATATATATATATATATATATATATATATATATATATATATATATATATAAACTATGACTGATGTCAATTCTTGATGAGTCAATCGACCTCCAGTAAATCAGCACACTGAATCCCAGACCTTAAATGCTTAACAACTGTTAGATAACATGTTTTTAGAGCATTATCGCACGCGTCCAGTGACCAAAGTCTGAAAAAGAATTCAGTCTGGAATTGTACTTTTGATGCAAACTAAAAATGTTAATAACCAATAGATGAAGCGATTTTGCAATAACTAACTAATTGATCACATTTTAAGCATAACTTGACACATTTCTCCGATGGCCTGATGACTTTGGGGCGAAGATCATGACATACAAGATCAAGTATCCACAAAAAGTGAAAGTCGAAAAGCTAGACAAGCTTTCTAAGCAACATGAAGAATTTTGCTGTGAAACAGTTCCTCATGTGGAATTTAAAACAAATTACATATACCTCAGAATTGAAGCAGGGAAAGATACTGATTTAAACTTTACTACCTTCTAGTTATGAATAGTCAAATTAGTTAAAAGCGGCAAAAACCCCAGATGTATCATAACACGATTATTTCTTCACTCTTTAAATATCAGTATTATTTTTTAACCTCCATTTTCTCTTATAGTAATCGTATATATATATATATATATATATTATATATATATATATATATATATATATATCTTACTGCTTTTGTTTGACGACAAATAAGAAGGATTAAATGACTCAGCTGCGTACAGTATTTCGACAAGAAAATAGTATGCACGCTACATCGTGCATACACAAGTTGGCAAAAAAAGACCTAACAAGATTGTGAATTTCCGTTACTCAACTTCTAAGACAATCAATAAGTATGTATATTTTTGGCCAATAAAAATAGAGAATCATCTTTTGACACACAAAGTGAGACTAAACACTTATCGGTCAAACATACTAACGAAATAATAATAAATAAAAAAAATTCAAATTAGACAAAGCAACAAACTCAGATGTCTCAACACCATGTACAAGGCCTGTAAAACGTATGACCTTTCACTGCTGCCTGATGAATCCAGTCATATTGTAAACAAAACTAACCATTTAACTAGAAATCTAGACTAAATAAACCTATATGTCGGTGCTATTATTGTTGAGTAAAGAATCTAGGAAATTTCAGGAACAAAATAACTACAAAAGAATACGTAGATAATAAACAAACATTTAAATGATATCTACCAATTCAGTTTGTTCAGGTTATCATATCACCTAGACAAGTAGCTCCGAATAAAATTTTGATATTCTGTTAATCTCGGTCGCAACAGGATTCGAACCAGCAGCCTCAGAGTTATTGGTTCAGAGCTCTACCAACTGAACAATGAGTCATACCAAGACCCAGATTTTCATTTCATCTTCAATCATCACTCACTATTAATAATACAAGTCTGTCAAATCACGGTTGTCTCAGATAGTCACATTAATAATCAATAGGATGCTTTCCTTCTCTAAACCAGTTCGATTTACGTTGGGGTGAGAAAACGGGTGGGCAGCTAGTGTGAATATGATGAATGGACAGTTACGCATCACGAATTCACAGTACAGTAGGACGTAATTCTTTGTGATTGAAATTAAATTAAGATTTGATCTGCAGCTGGGTCTCGCAGCTCAGTTGGTGAAGCAGCAGGCTCAGAGGCTGAGATAGAAATTTTCATTGCGATTCAACTGACTAGCGTAGGTTAAAATTTCATAATAAGGTCCTATTGATACATTGAAATGAATATATATAGTTTGGTATTTTCACGATATTGTAAAAATGGACAATATGTGTGTATATATACCCCCTACTCAAAATGCTTTCATATATGGTGAAATCTCTGCTAAGGAAGCTCATCTTCATGTGACAGCAGTATTCCCACAAGATTGGAAGGTTGAAGGAGTACGTGTGACACTGATCACATGATCCGTGAATACAGTGAATCTATCAGGAAGAGTTAGACATCCATGATTCTAAAAAAAAGTGATGTACACAAGTTTCTGAAACAGCACAGTACGAATGGCGTATGAACACATTTTGGATACATGTACTTGCATGGATGCAGAAAATTTATGTTACTGTGCTCTCTCATTTGAAGTCAAAGACTTATATTTTATCAAATATCAAGATCAGGAAGATTTCACCAGAAATCTGCTTACGATCTCATATCGCATATATGTAAGATAACAGTGCATAAATTCTAAAGTAGATTAAAATTAATCCTCCGAAGAAACAAAATGAATTGTATGTTCGAATAACGATCAAAATACGAGTTATTTTAGCCGTGTTGAATAGTTTTCACGACATTATTGTTAGCTTGTTGTTTTTGAGATGCATCTGAACGTTCAATTTCCCTTCAATAATGAAATATACAGACAAAAAGATGGAAAAGCTATAGGTTCACCATTGGGGCCTATGCTTCCAACCTTGATGTCAAAGCTGGACAACACATACACCTAAGCAGAATAATCAACTGGTTCGAACTTTATAAGCGATATGTAAGTGATATCTTCATCATCTCCAATGATACAGATAATCTAAAAGATATCTTGTTTTATTTTAATAATTGCGATCCTTAAATCAGGTTCACATTAGAGAAGGAACTTAATTCTAAGATATCCTACTTAGATGTCCAGTTAAAAAGACGAGACAGTGAATTACTTGAAATGTCTATCCATAGAAAACCCACATGCAACGGACAACTTACGAATTTTCATAGCTGAGTGTCTCTATGCACCAAACGAAATCTGGTTCGCTCTATGTGCCATAGGATCCACACTCTCTGCAGTCCTGATGAACTTTTCAAAAATATCTTGATTGAAAACTAGTATCCTAAGGGTTTCATTGCTAAAACTATGAAACTGAAAGCAAATAATCATTTCACTTCTATGGCACCTACAAAGCCTCTTTTTATGAGCTTACAGTTCAACGGAGACAAATCAACAGATATACTGAAAAACCATCTGGCATGCTCATTGAGAACGACTTTTTATGCTGCCAGGCTCAGATTAACTTTCTCCACTCACCCAATGCTTCGATTATGCGTAAATGTTAGCCACCTTGATGGGTGCTTAAAAATTCACCTGCTCCTGTGGAATAAGATATGTTGGCCGTACTCAGCGTTCGCTTTCCAAACGCATTTCCGAACATATACCTGCCTGGTTCCACAAAAAAGAAAAGAGAACACTTCACAGCTGTACTTTAGAGCATTTGATCGATTATGACCATCTGGTAAATGCAGAAAACAACCTCAGTGTGATGTACAGAGCTCATGCAAATCTTGTGAAAGGCTTACGTCTAAAGCTTCTTTAAACTGTGGAAGTCATGGCAATTAATATTTTGAAGCCCAAACTCTACGTTCGAAATTCAATACTGTATCATACATGTTGTTTGGAATAAAGCGATTATTATTATTATATGCCAAAACAGCTTCGATTAGCTTAAAGCAGCCATTTTTCAAACATTTTTAAACAGATCTCATGAACTACTTAACTCTGTAATCATAAACTGATAGACAAGAAAAACTTTACCATCTCTTTAGTGGTCTTGTTGATTGCGATCATTTGCAGTATAACTTTCACCTTGGAATATAAAATGTTGAATGAATTATTCAAAAATATGTCATCAAATGCAATTACCCAACATGAAACTAGATTGGAATTAGAAAATCACCAGAAAATTCACCAATTGCGATTATAAGTAACTGAGCACAGTCTTTGAATAAAATGAAGACAATAAATGAAGTTTTAACAGAGAAAATTCCATGCAACCATTCTGCTACTCACATATCCTACTACAACCAGCGGTGAATAGACTTCTTTTACTCGAAAATCTACCAGTAGTGGCCAGTTCTATTTGCGTATATGACTAATTAGTCATATAAACCTAGCTTAACGACTCGTATTTGAACGCCAGTATAGTTACAAAGTCCTAAGAGGTATTTCTTTGGTACTGAGTGATGAGTAAAGGTGGAAAGAAAAAATCTGAGCGATGGTAGGACTTCAACCAGCGATTTCGAGGTTACCGGCTTAGTGCTATACCAACTGAGAGCTGCTGACCAGATCTTAATTTCACTTCAATCACTCAGGGTCAACTGCTGGAAGTGAAAAACTTATTTTAAGTTTATACAACAATAATAGTGATACTGAATTGAACTGTCGTTGAAATCTGTAAGCAGACCATAAATAAAATTGGAAAAATATATAACCATTGCTAAACACGGCATATATGTTGTCCAGTTAGCTCACCCAGTTACAAGATACAATTTACAATGTAAATGAAGTAGAGAGAATCATTACAGAAAATAATCAAATAAAAACTTACTGGGTTTTAGGGTTTTCACAGCAACGATTGTCGTCTTATTCCATACAGCTTTGAAGACCTCACCGAATTGACCCTGTCCAATTTTCTCCTTTAAGATGATTGAAGACTTCGGGATTTCCCATTTATCAATGAGCTTATGCGAAAGACCCACAGGTTCTGGATGAGTTGGCTAACAAAAACGAAGCAAGCGTTTATCTGTGTATTAGAATAGTTTGCTACATACATTCTCATAACTGACTGTCAAAGGAAAAAGTCAAAAAAGTGATAAACGTATCTTCTTTCTTAATATCAGATTATAACATTCTTTCCATAACCTGAACACGATTAACTTCTGGTTATACATCTATGAAATAAATTTAAACCTTGTTGTTCACTTTAAAAGTGTATACGATTAATATGAGCAGAATCACCAATAAGTCGTACAGGCTGGAAAGATCAGAAAAATTTATCCTCTCCGTCCACAATTATTTGAAGATATGATGATGGACCTACGTGCTCTTATAGACATTTAAGCTCAGATATCCTTATTGAGAAAGAGATTCATTTCCATTCCTCACCTGGGCAAATTAGAGTACACATTCAATATTTACAGTTATATTGTTCAATAAACTAAATGAAATAATCTGTCATAGTGCAAAACATTTACACGATGGAGAGTGATTTGAGAGCCAAGTCTTATTGTGGGCTGTACAGGATCGAGTAGACGTCACTCGGACTCTGAGGATACAAAACAATCGTCGATATTCTGGTACAAGCATATTATGAAAACAAATTTCCCGATATGAGGAATCATTAAGTGTCGATCGTCTGTGTGATTGCGGCAGAACGCAAAATTCAACCAACCGTTGCACACCTTTTTTACCTTCACGTCCTCTTACTAGCAGCAAACCACCCCAACAACCTCCTCAACTTCTTACTGTGTGAACATAGCTAACGATTCTAGCCTCCTAAAGCCATGATGGAAGTTTTAGATTGAAGCATAGTATTATTATTACTGTTATTATTATTATGGGGGAACTAACTTGGAACGACATATGAACTTAGATATGCAACGTACAAAATAATAAGGCAACATTATAAAAACATAGGAAATGGAATAGAGGATGGGAACGAAAACAGAAACTAGTTGATGAAGCAGCAGTCTTACAGATACGTTCCAAAGACCACTCATCTTACTTTTCAGTAATAGGAGACACAAGAAAACAGTGGTAAGATAACTATAAGTTTCAATTTTTTGCCATTTCTGAGGCTGTCTCAAGCTACTGAGTTGCGTAACCTTTCGGATTCGACACAAAGAGTTGTGGGACACCTACAATTGCTTACGCAACATCACAATCCCTCATCCATCGGTGTTGCGTCATAAAAAAGCCACCTCTCCGCCTTTTTAAGCCAGTCTCAGCAAAATCGAATTGCTGGCGATATAGGAACTACTGGAGCGACAGACGCATTAATACATCTTAACCACTGAAGCCAAAGTTTCAAAATGGCTACATCAACGAATGAAGAACTCCATCACGTTTGAACACAAGTCACCTCACCTCAGAAATAATAGCACACTATTCCAACCGCATCCCAGTAATCGTGAAAAGACAGTGGTAATGGGAAACATAGTCGTCGAACATTTTCAGCTCGAAGAGGTCAGGTTCCACAAGCGCAAAACAGAACTGCCCACACCAACGCGTTGAGTACCCAACCTTTCGCAACAGTAATTTCACGATTGCGCCAAAGGTGGTCCAGATTAGTGCTCATCACTTAGGTTTTCCATAAACAGTCCGCAATTTTATTAGTCATACCTCTATCACCACTCAAACAACTAAACAGGTACAAAAAACGTTTCGACAACTTCCAGAGATTCGCTGCCAAGGGCGAGTGCAGGTACAGGCTCGTGCCACCCTTGTAGAAGGACTCTATACTTTGATAGTTCACAGCAAATACCATACTTATTGTCACTAATCGCCAACTGGTTGAATGAAATTTGAGTAACCGGCATCTTGTTGCACAGCAAAACAATACCCTATCCATGTAGAAGATCCAAACGTCTGTCACAAGTCTACATTACCATCAACAAACTTTCTTCATGGTTTTCTAGAGAATTTCATGGATACCTGAGTCAGTAAGGAACGATAAAACTTGGCAACCATGAGTAATCCCCTACTGGTGTGGAACAATGGAGATACATGGCTGAATATACGCCTTCATGCTACCTAAAGTATTACAGTATATGACTTTCGAAATGTAACAAACATCTCTGGGACACCCCTCTCCAATAGACAGTTCTAGAGTACAGTCCCGATTAGTAAATCGAAGGCAACCCTGATACCGAAAAATTTAACAACGGTTGGTTCAAAATAAGTGTTTAAGCATCTGACTGAGAGTGAATACGTTATCAATACTCGTGTGACCTGACCTTTTCCTCACGGATCACTTTCTCACGCATTTGGTATAGCCTGCGAAGCATAAATGGCAGTCACCATTTTAGACACAACTGGTAGCAGAAATATACCCTAACAATTATCATATCCATTACGTACATCTTCTTGAAGACGAGTACAACAACAGATTCATTTCAGGGTAATAAAGAACCCAGTCTGTGGTAACTTACCAAGCAATGTAGCCAGTTCCCTGACCACAGTCTCACTTGTCTCCTGGAGCATGCTGACGATTAGTAAGAAGTTGCGAGACGCTTTCAGGAACCCAGCTATTTTAGCCGGACATTCTTCGAAACCATAAGCCATGCCATCTCAAGGGTGTGGTATATACTTAGCTATTTTTACTCGATACCCAGTAAGCTACGTTTGGTGTTCAGTTGCAATGTTAGGCATAACTAGTTTCTTTACGTTGACGTGTTTAAGAGAACGATTTTGATGACCAATCAGGACGCAGGATGAACTGGTCCAGTAATACAGCATGGTCAAGGAAGGGTAGCAGTCCTGAGTAAAAGCATGCCATCGGTAGCTGGTTGCAATAAGATCTATTTGAGTTCAGGTTTTAGTGGCAGAGAGAGGATGTCAGGTAGCACAACGCAGATGATGGTACTGAAAGTTAATGCTGGCTAGAAAAAAGCTGTGATCTGCGCAAAGCTCAGGAAGACATTCACCATTATCTTACCTGCAACCAACCACATCCCACTAGCCATCTTAACGACTCTCATTTCGGTCAAGAAACTCAACTTGTGCACCCAGGTCCCTAGCTAGCACTACGGTTTCTGGCCAGCGCACCCGACAGAGGTCACTCAACTGTAGGCAGAACAAGAGAAGTCCTTGTGTAGCAGCTATGAGGAAACCCGTTTGTATAAAATCGTATATAAAGTCCCATAGTCAATAATTATCTAATGCCTAGCTGGAACTCTAGGGCAGCAAGTTTGATAGACGCAGGTAGAATACACTATTTGAAGAAGCTTAGGTGTTAAGTACGAAGTTGTGTACATTCACCAACTGATATAGCTTAGATATGAGTTGCACATCCGAATAAACCGTCTAACTCAACGTTCTATGTTAACGCAGATAGGGTTGGGTTGGAAGAACGATTAGGAAGGACAAATTAAGACGTGACACCAGTCCATGAAGACCTTGACTGCCAGTTTGAATCATCTGAGAAGGTGAAAATGAAAAGATCAGTTAAAACTGCTGCTCAATTAATTGATAGAAATAACGGAACATAGGTAATTCAATTTGTAGGGATTGATTGACTTCAAGGAAGTATTCATCATGGATTGACATCAGCTGGAGAATCAATGAAAAGCTAGGAACATTGAACAGCTGTTTCGTCCTAGTATGGAACTCAGCAGTACACATTCACAATCCAAGTGAATCTAAAGGTCACCTTAGCAACAACTGAAATAACCAACTAGACTTTTTGATTTTATGAAAGTATGCTTTTCCAGCCGAAATAAGATCTAATTGGTTATATCAGTTGTTGCTAGGGTGGACTTTAAATTCATTTCATGATCTCGACAGGATCAAACCAGGACTTTCAGGTCCCGCAACAAACCCGTTAATCATTCAGCCACTCACTAGGTTGAGTTCAGTGGTCTACAATTTCTTATTCCTACCAATTTGCGATATAGACCGACCTCCATTCAAATGCCACCGTTGAATATATGTCCTCACGTGGCAATATCTGATTTAGTAAATTATCATTTTTGAATCCGGAAAATGAGTAAATTTCCCTTATGAAAACTGTTCAAGATAACTGTTAAACATTCACTCATTTTCAGATATGAAGTCATTTACTACTTTTTAATTATGAGCTTCTCTATACACACAGAAATGGAAACGTTCCCAGGTAGATAAACTACTGTCTCAATACACGTATAGTTGACTCTCCAACCAAGACTATATGCATTCTGCAAGGTGTGAAGTAAGTTCAAGAAATGACCGCTTCTGATGTGGAAGGAAAAATAGTACTTTTTTATGCTTCAAATACTTAGAATCACATGTTATGTTTTCTGATTCAAACCCTAAACACTATATTCGATAAGGCCGGTTTAAATCACAAATAAAAATTTGTTTTTAAAACACTATTTATTGCCTGAACCAATCAGGCTTCTTCAATGTGAATTATGACCCTAAAACGTTTATCCACAATGTTTGTATTTGATAGTAGGCGTAAGATTTTAATCCCTAGAAGTCTCGTCAAATTAGTCAGAGGAAACACCCCAACCTTTGGAAAATCCAGCCAACTATTGTTTTAAGCACGGCTTTGTGGTTAGGGTCAAATTTCTCTGAGAAGGTCACGAAAAACTTGCAGCTTTTGTTCTTTCTGATTTATCCACTGAATAAATCCAATGTTAGAGATATTTAGCCTTTGGCAGAAAGATAAACAAATTTGAGTAATTTATGAGAAAATTTTGTGTTCAAAACAAGCAGTAATAAGATTGAAGGATATAAATGCGAAAACTTCCATGATGAGGTGCACTTAGTTCCTCTGAACAGCCAGATACGATCGAAATAAGACTTGGCCCTACAATGTGGTTGACCTGGAGTTTGAATACGATAATGTTTTAAATATAACTCAATTTAGTTTCAATGAATCTAGTCAGTCAGTTCTGATCCACATAGGACCAGGTCTTACTGCGTAACGGTTTGAGTTGCCACGTCTCATCAGTACATTAAGTGAGAAGGCACTAAGATGACAGATAACGACATAAGGTAGAAAGTAGTCAAAATG